GATCCGCGATCGAATGGCTCGAGCTCCTCGATCGCGCGCCACGACCACGGTAAATTAATGTGAAGCTGCATGAATTTTAGTTGCACTTTGGTGAAATCAGTTGGAGTAAAGGTTGCGGCGGTCCACCAATTAACGGTGGAGCGCCTTTGGTCGTGATTGCGCGATCCAAGCGATCGGATCGTCGAGTATGAACGCACTCTCAGCATCCAAGCCTCGAATAACCTGTCCTGATAATCTCAATAGCACGTCGGCTCGTTCAAAGCGTCAAAACAATTATCACAATAATGTAATATTAATGAATTTGGTCATTTCGATAGGTTTCCCGTCGAGATGTCGTTGGGAGCAGGAGTAGACCTGAATGGGAAGTTTTCCACATAGTACTTAATCGTTTCTCAGAAGGTTAGTTTACAGAATAAGCTCCTCATTCGAGTCAACTAGTCGAGAAAGTGACCTAACTTGGTGACAACTGTTGGCAACGAGATATTTTGGAACTTGAGAGCGTGGGGGGAGGCGGAAGGACGAAGGTTTGCACGCGGCAAAGAGTCCACGTCGCCGGTGTAGGACAATACCGCGACAACTCTGGTGGTCTGCGTTCTATCAATTCTCGCTGAGCTGAGCTTTCGTGGTGCACCCCCCCCCCACCAAGTCAGCGTAAATTTCGTAAGATTAGAATCGACAAGATCATTCACCTGGTTCACGGTTGCAGACGGGCGTTGTACGGTGCAATGATGGAAACTCTTCAGTAGTCGTGACATCATCTAAAAAAGCTGAGATCACTTCAAAGGATTAAGAAGGGCATTAGGCTGCGTCCACTCTGCGGCAGCGTTCACCGACGTCTACGGCAGCTGCCAACTAGGCGTTCTGATGCGTCCCGGCAGCGTCAGCGGAACTGCACGAGATATAATATCGATCTATCGTGATTGCCAGTGTCCTTCAGCGTCTGCTAGCGGTCTCGAGGACTAGGGAAGGTATAGGTGTCGACCTAGCGTCTAGCGGTATTTACCAGCGACTGGGAGTAGAGACAGGGAAGTAGGAGGGTAACAAATAGCCGAATTAGCCCGTAAAATTGCGGCGTGTGCAAACAGCACCCGTGGACTGCAACAATAGGGCGCACTGTTGCGTCGGCTGGTGGACGCTGTCGCAAAGTACGAACGCAGCCTTGGGGCTGAGGTGGTGCAGAGGCAAGTGACAGGCCACGAGTGCGGTCCAGCGCTCAAGCCAAGGGATGGTTTCCGCCTAGGCCCACCACCCTTCTACCCTCCGGGAATGAACTGGTATCAAACGGCCCAGAGGGCGTAGAGTCAAGTGGCGTCACATACCGCTCCTGCGGGTTTCGGGATCAAATCCCGAATCGGCTCTAGCCCCGGGCCCGCCATCGTTGTGGCAACGGGGAGGATCTTAAGTCTGAGGGAAAAGATTTTCGATAGTTGATTTCTCTTGTTTCAGGGACATTATAAAGGGGGAGGGACGTATATGGTACTTGCTGGGAGTTTGCTGGCCCCCGCCCCTGGTTGATGGCGTCGCCAAACTTCTATACAATTGCTATTCTATTTTCGATAGTGGAAAAGAGTAGCTGAATCCTGACGACCTATCCTCCCCCCCCCAATCCCTCCCCCGCTCGACAACTAAATCCTGGGGTGGAACAAAACTTTCTCCGGAAAAAACTGGAAAAAGTGGTGGGAAGTTGCTGGAAAAAGTGGTGGGAAGTTGGGAAAATCTAGGAAGGTAGGATGGGGAGGGGGGAGGGGGGTCGCTACCTGGGCCAAATCCCAATGAAAAGCCACTACGACTCTAGAAGAAAGTGGAATGCGTGTAGCATCCTAGAAATGAGCTAATCAACGATGGAATGGTTTATCGTTTGAGAGGACAGGTCCCATTTGTTTTATTGTTAGATTCTTTCAGGCTCTGATGAAGGCGAGGCAGGCGAAAAGTTAGCGCGATAAGCATGAAAATCCAGGCGAAAAGTTAGCGGCCGAATTAAAGCATGGAAATCTTGGACGGGTCAACCTAACCACTAGCTGGAAGGCTTATTCGAGGTTTTTTGAGGTTAAAATTTTCGCATACTTCTTGCAGGCTGTCATAGTACTGGGATAATCTCCCTGGTTCCAGGCGATATGGTGGGTGGACACAAATAATTTCAACTAGCTTATCCTGCGAGGGTTCAGGCTTGTGGTGAGAGAAGCAGCGCTGTTCGGCGTGGGGGGGGGATTTTACATGTTCGCTGCTTCCGATGGCCGTGTTTATTGCTTTACAAGAGTTCATAAATAGACTCCATAAACTTGCCACGAGTATCGCTTTATGTAAGATTCCACGGACCCCTACTTGTCGGCTCTTCGCGTCGATGTGAAATAGCAAAAGCGCGAATCTCCCCCGTCCTACCCCCTCAGCCGGATTGCGCTGGAAGACCTCCCTCGAAGTTAGTGAGTCCTCATTACGAAGGGTCACAGCAGTGATATTTCAAAAGAACCAGTATGAAACATACAAACTGTTCTAGTTCCTTATCCGACAGCCTCATCGACAAAGCATTCAGAAATAGTGTCCCTAAATTAAACTAAATTAAAACTTTCGGAGTAGATCATTTGACAAAGACTTAAAAACTGAATAGAAATGTTCCAAATGTGGGAACATGGAGCGGCACTGAAAAGCTTCAAGCCTCTCGAGAACTGAGAAGGAATTCAAAAGTTTTTGCGAAATTATTAGAAACTGGATTTTAAAAAATTGCAATAAATATCTCTGGTGCCTCTTCTTGTTTATTTATTTAAAGTCTTATGAGGCTGCAAGACAACACAATCCAACAAGATATTTGGTTCGGCTTGGTGGGGGCACTAAGTGGTACTCAGCCACTAAAACCACTTTGCAGTCTCACAGGAGTTTAGAGGTCTCACCACATGAACTAGCCCAAGGAACTAACACACCGCAAATTGTCCCTTCTGAGCCGAACAGGCCGAATATCTTATGAGGTGTGCCACGCTAGCGCCTCACATTCCGAATTATGTTAGCGCATGAACTTATGTATGATACTGGCAAAAGTGAAGACAAGGGTATGGGTCAGGACATCCGAATGGCATTATTGTATCGGAAGTGACGTCACCTCTGCAGCATCTGCTGCAAAACTAATTCGGTTCCATGTGAAAATGTTGCAGGCAACTTTCTGGATATTGCTGCACGTGTTAGTTTTTACTTGAATACTTTACCAATAAGCTAATGACATTCAATGGGCGGGGATGACGTTGTGGCAGCTGGCGTGCTTATCATACCCGCTGTCTGGAGGTCAAACCGCTCCACCATAACCAATCTAAGGCCTACGAATCGCTTCGGACGGTACATTGGGTACAGCATGGACGATTCGTCTGGAGGATAAGAACACTGACTCGTACACTGCATTGTGGCCTGCATGACTTGCGGGGGCTGGCCCCGGGTGTGTAGCAACAGAATCGTCCGGTGCAGCTGGTGGGCGTGGCCTGCGACATACTTGCGGCGAGAAGACGAAGCGTGCTTCTGGCGGTTTGAATAGGGTTATTGAAGGGAAGGTAAAGATTGATATCACCCAGGATCGAGTCTTGTGTTCAGTTACGGTTAAGTTTTTAGTGAGTGTGAAAAAATCATTAGAACAGAAGTTCATTGGGGTCTTAAACATTTGCTCTGGTGGGTCATCTTTTACAGCAGCTCACAGGAAAACCTGGCCATCCATCTATTGAATATTGACGCTGGCGACTGCAAAAATCATGCGAACCACATAACGTAGGGGGAATCACGGCCTTTCTGATTTCTTTTGTATCTGTTTATTTCCTGAAGTTGCGTTTATGGAACCGCCAAACAATTGTGTGTTACTATCAAGAAAACATCATTAGATTCTCAATCATTGATGAACAGGCTAAATGTTGCTGATGTACGCAGTGGTGAAACAGCTGCTCCAATCGCAAAGCTATCGGCCTACCAAATTCACGTGCAGCCGCTGAGTCATTCGCGCCGCGTGCCGCGGGCGCTGCCCCGGACGATTTTGTCGCACGTCTCCCGGCTGGCCCCCGCAAGTCATGCAGGCCACAATGCATTCAATAAGTCACTACGATCCTGTAGGAAGTAGAATGGAAGTAGAATGCGTGGCCCATCCAAAAAGGGGTTGATCAACTGCGAAGATTTTATCCTTTATCTTCAACGGCAATTAGTGTCACAAACCACGAGGTCCAGCGAGTCGAGCTGCATTTTCTATGACGGCGTTATCCAGAAATCCAGCAGCAGGACATACAAGAGTCGTAGAGACAAAGCCGCCATCACACGCATCCAAAATGATCATGTCATATGTTGAACCTAGAGAGGTGAAAAAATAAAATTCACATGTTCCGACACAACTTTAAGCAAATCATCTTCAACTAACCCTAGTCTTACCCAGCTAAATTGAATTATAATTCCAAGGTAACAGGCGGTGTACAGTATCTACAATTGCGCGTAAAATCGAGTGCGTGGGACCAGAGGGCACACACAGCACCCTCAATTATCGCCTAGACAGCATCCGGCTACAGGTGGAGAGCTGAACGAAGCGCCTGGTACTTGGGTGACTACATAAACCACCTTGGAGTATGCCCAAACGTGTAGGCTAACGAAAATGGCACATGTTGTTTTACGACGACGACTCTTAGGGGTACTATATAGCGCCTCGCCTCGAACTTATAGTTTTACTCCCAGCTAAGAGCTGCCTTGACGACTCGCCCAGTTTTTATGCAACTTTTGTGCAGTTCATTTCATTTTCCCAAACAGCACGGGGTTGGATTCAGGTGGCCAGAATACGCTGCCGAACGTTTGGGCATTTCAAGGGGCTAGATTCGGCCGCGGCACAATTCTGTTCTCCACGGCTATGGAGGCTGGCAACGGTCTACAACTAGTAGGCTGGCATGACAACCCGCTCCCCCTCCCTCGCAGCAGAGAAGAATGTACTAGTATTTGAAATTTGAGTATTGCGGTCAAGTTCAATGCTGTTCCTATACTGAGACCACCACTGCGCTATAAAACTTATAGGGTTGGGCCGAATAAGTACACTCTAGTTCTCTGCGGACGGTTGGGCGTGTCAGCCAGTATGAGTGTGTCACCCTATCAAAGCCGTTCTCTGCCTTCTTGTTGAAGAGCGCATGCGACAAAAAGTGGTAGAAGACGAGTAATACGAAGGATATGATACAGTATTGTCACTTGCCCGCTTCAACAACTGGTGAGAACGAGTTTGGCACCGCGCCAAACGCAGCCGCACTGACACGCCCAACCGTCCGCAGCGAACTACACTATACGCGAGCGATTCACCGATCTGGACAAAAATGGGGGTTTGGCCGATTTTACGTTATTTTCTTACCTTGATCCACTTTTTTCGCCATGAACTTTATTCCGTCAGCCAGTACCACACGTTGTCGCTTGTCCAGCTCCAATCCGAACCACTTTTTAGCCATGTAAATCATTTTTGCATTATATTCAACGACAGTTATATCCATCTGGAAATTTACTTTGTATCCATTTGAGGGAATTTTTCAGAACTCAAGACCTATTCAGCGCCACCCATGTTTCTTAAAAGATGCAAGAAAGTGAGACCAAATCAAACCTTTGGAAAGAAATGACGGAGTAGGCTATTAATGGCGCCACCACCAAGTCCTATAGAAAGTATTTTAGCCTCAGTATTTCGTGTCAGCGTAACCGCACTGTACTGGAGGATCGAGCCTAGATTTTGTGAACAATTCATCAAAATGGATATAATAAGCATATGGGTGCAATGAACGAGAAGATGAGCGGACTTAAAGACACACCCTTCGATTA